ATATAAAAGAAAATTGTCGACATACTTTGTATGGAAAAAACGTGAAACACCTTTAACCCCAAAAAATCCTCAAAAATCAGCGGAATTTTTTAGCCGCTTGAAACTTGCACTTCTTCAGACTAGAATTGAATGTGCTACAAAACTGCATACCAGAATTTTTTCTAAAGATTCTGATTAAAAAGTTTGAAATTTGGGTGAAAAATTGCAAAATTTTTATAATTTTTATACAAAGTTTAAAATCTGAATTTATATGGTGTTTGTTGTATAGCCAGCTAGGCTTTTATAAAAAAATAATAAACATTAAATAAACAAAAGACAAATAGCCAAAACTGGTCAAAATATCGCACTCCTATTATTTTGTGGACAACTGTACATATATATGTGTGTACATAAATATAAATTTCAAATACATAACTACAAAAAATAAGAACACATTGCCTTGGAAAACATAAAAATATGAAATAAAACCAAGAAACTATAAGAAAATCTTAATAAATATTACGCCACAAAAGTCCTTAAAGCACAATTATAGTAAGAAGTTTCGAAGAAGAACTCTATTTGTAACTTAATTTACTAACGCAAAGTAAGCTGATAGTTTTTTTCTCAAAAAACATTAAAGTGGTCCAAAAATGTATGTAAAAAAAATAAGGTCGGATTTTTAATGCCGCCACCCCCTAGGATTGTTATATACCGAAAAAATATACCCATATTTTTTTATTTTGAAATAAAAAATAATTTAGGTAGTGCTCAAAGCGCTAAAAGCGCTCAAAGTTTTCCTGTATTTTATATGGAGAAAAAAAACTTTTCGTAGAAATAGTGTAGAATTCTTGAAAATCAATATTTTTCGATAGGAAAACCTTACTTATCTTCAGGAGATTCTCAGTAATAATACTCAATTGTTTCTTTAACAATTTTTTCATGGTAACTATATTTTGTAGGTCCTCCAAAGCCCTTTGAAAATGCAATGGGGGGACCAATAAAAAATCTTTAATCATAAAACATGGTTAAATAAACAATTGGATATTAATACTGGAAGTCTCCTGAAGAGAACCACAGTTTTCCGGTCGAAAAATATTAATTTTTAAGAGTTTTATACCATTTCTACGAAAAATTGTTTTTTCTCCATATAAAATACATGGAAAACTTTGAGCGCTTTGAGCACTCCCTAAATATTTTTTGATTTTAAAATAAAAAAATAAGGATATATTTTTTTCGACATAGATCGATCCTAGGGTGTGCCGGCATTAAAACTCCGACTTAATTTTTTTGGACCACTCTAATGAACATGCTACATAAAAAAATTGAATGCCACAACAGCGCGCTTAGTCATTGATAAAACACAGTTAATGCTAAAACTACAAGAATTCAAAAGTAGAACTCCACCATCAAGTATTTCAGGTGGTCAACGCTTTCCACGTTTTCAGCTTGTATCTGAGGAAAGCGCTGAACAACTGAACAATTAAATCAATTTAACGTAACTTTGTTTGCGTATCT